CGGAAAAATCCTGTGCGCACATCAATAGTCACTGACGTTGTCCTACATACCGCCCCCAGACACACATACACATATACCTGTGCCAGTAACCAGTATAAAAGGAAAGTCTCCAATATCATCGCACTCAAGACGTGCTACCCTAAACACTTTAATACTTCACTCCAGGGCTCTCTAATTTATATTGTGTACGTGTTCAAGAAAGTATCCATATGTTTGGGCCATTATCAAATATTGAAAGTCATATCAAAGTAAGAAAGTAAGTACGTAAGTAAGAAAGCCATATGCTTTATAATCTAGATTGTGTTGAGTTGAGTTGTACATGTGCTGTTTTGTATTGTGTTCTGAGGAGTCTGGCCCCGGTCTCACCCCCACATCACGTCATAGCGCCCTGTCAAGGTCAGGCCGGTGGCAAAAAGGCAAGCGGAGTTCATCCCGGGGCCATGGCCGGGGGTCGGGCTGACCTACATCCGTACTCGGGCTGGTCTGTCAGCCGGGAGCCAGATCTGTGTTCCCCTGTCACTTATCCTCGTCACAGGCTGGTCACAGGTAGTTCACAGAGGTGAAACTCATGTCAAATGGCCTTTGAACTAAGTGAAAGTCTTCACACAGGAAACTTCAAGCAAACTTTCGAACTTTAAGGCTGGCGCCCGAACCAGTACCCTGAGTAGTTAGCCTCGGTGCCATCCTATTCGTTTGTCGGGGCTCCCAAAAGTTTAGAGAGCGAGTGTGCGCCGGCCACAAAGGTATGACAGCCAGTCTAAGTATTTTCTTGTTCGTGATGAGAAAACTTCCTTTCTTATCCTTCCCAAGAACAAATGTCCACTCCTTCAGCCAAGAAAGCGATTCTTTTCACGCGTGAGCAAATGTTCTTCTTACCTGGCCAATGTTTCGGTATACAGGTATTGAAAGGTAACTTTTATAAGGGATGAGACTTATGCCATGGTGAAATGCTGCAAAGAGAGTTGCAGTTACGTTGCGTCTATAGTCTAAGCCTGTTATAAGTTGTAAGAAATGCCTTCATTGAACCTACCAAAACATTTCTAATTCAAGACTTGCAATAAAGTGCGTCACGTAATCGGTTCCACTGTCTTTGGATGTAGGGTTGTCGCACTTGTCCCAGGATGTAAAAGTACCACATGGAAATATTTGCTCACTGAAAACCACAAGACTGAAGAGTCAATACCCCTCTATCACTCCCTCCCGCAGCTGTAGTGTACCTTACACCACGATGACGTGAATGTTGTCGGTGCCGTCAGAGGTCGCCCACAGGTGACCCGCGTCACGCCCCGCCGGCTCCGCCCGCCCGGAGAGACCATTAGGACCGGGCGGCGATTGTTTCAAATGAGATGATGGACTGGGGAGTAATCAGGTGATGCAGAGTAGTTAGATGGTGATTTTGATGATGGAGGAATTTCACCGGTCATCAAACTCATTACGCTTCGGGCCGGGTCATGACCCGGGCTCCTATCGGTCAGTATGGGCTGCTGCAGTGTGCTGCAGGTAACAAGTTGGGAGGAAATGAGGGAATAGCAACATCCTTTTCTATTCATTCCAAGTATCTCCTCTGAAATAAGCCATTTTTATGTCAGCTCCTTGTTATCACAGTCGAGGTCCCAATGTATCCATTCAGCAGCGATAAAAATGTTCTACCATCTTTGCGATCTCCAAGTATTATTGTCTAATGGCACCTGTCTGTCACCCGTGTATCGTTGATGCAAATTGGCAGGTGCTAAGAGTGACGGTGTGAAAAAATAGCCTGGGTGTCACCCTGGTTACTTTTCCGCGGCACCCATACTCACCCGCGCCGAACCAATATGGGAAGCTATTGTCTTGAAGTGCAAGAAAAGGGCATTTCTAAAGTGATATGGAAATTTGTTTCAAAATGTATACACACTTTGATGAACTCAGATGTACCTCGTTCAGTTCTGCGTTTGACATTTTGGCGCCTCCTGGAATCATCTATCATTTTACGAACCAATCGAGCCCCCCATCTGAACTCTTGACCCTGGACGGTCCTGTCGTGTACCTGCGATCCCCCGACCCTCCCCTCTGATCAGTCTTGATGCTGTTGTAGCGGTGTCACTCTGGGTAAACAAGTCATTCGTCACTTGTCTGCCCCGACCACGCTATGTGGAGGACAGTACTAAACACAGGGACTGTCTCGAGTTTACCAGTTTTAACAAAGTGTGTGTGTGACCCCACTAATATAAAATGAAAGGTTTGCTTCAGTGGTCTCTTGCTTTTAGTCTTGGCCTTTCTGTCAAATTCGAATTCGCTCGGAGAATCAAGCGATATCAGGATGGTCCATTTTCACCGTCCTTGATTGCTTTCACCTTGTTCCCCGTCGCAGACTATGAAAATGTTGCAGCAGACTAGCGGAGACATCAGTGAGAGCTATCTTCATCTGACCAGTCATGGAAAGAGGCCAGAAAGGCGACTATAGTATAGAAGCCAAAAGTTCTGTGTCCTTCAGTTGACCCCAGCAAGGCAAGGAGCTAGTGGATACGATAGTCCTTCACAAGTCTCGATTTCTTCCCGGCGCATGCGGACTGCGTACATGCCTTGGCACCCGTCGGTTTCCCGCCAATGAAGCCGTGGGTGACTGAGGGAACCATTTGTTCAGCTCCTTGACAGAAATGTGCTGCACACAGATGTACCGGATAAGGTGGTCTAATTGTGCCAATATTGTCTCCTCACCGCAAAGTGCACAAGCCCGCTGCCTGCTCGATAGGTTAGCGACCACACCCCATCAATAAATCAGCCGTCATGCCGACATACCGGGCTGCAGGGCGATGGCCAGGTACGGGGGCCGCCGCCCTGCCTCGTCACACACCGCACCGGCTCCATTCCCCTTCCCCACTATCCACTATGTCACACTCGTTATGAGAGTACCGCCATATATACGATGAAATAGTAGGAATGCTGATATCTGCTGGAACATCACTAGCCACTACGACAGCAAGACGACGAAGTCACTGAGAAGGAAGTTGTGAATTTCTTCCATCAGGAATAGAAAAATTATGTTTTCACGTTTTCATGAAAAGCAGCAAAAAGACTAGAGGTAAGAACATCCAAGTACGGTGTGAGTTGAAGCGTGCAAGGATTGGTAGTGCAAACATACCGTCGTCTTGTCATCTATATTTTCCAATAGGTTTAAAAGTGTACCATATCAGATGAGGTGTTCTTGAAAAAAAATTGATCAATATAGAATACACTGACAGTAAAATTTCAATTAAGGACCATTAACCGTCATAAAGATGTAATATCTTCATTCAGTCTTGATTCCATTTAGTTGAAGGTCAAGCCTCTGTCCTGTCCTTATCTCATACATAAAATGTTCCTAGTTCACTCTGTGACTGTAGGTGGTTACTCTCAGAGACGCGTGGCAGTCAGAAAACGCTATGAACCCCAACATCTGCTTGAAGACTAAGTTAGTGCGGTTCGTGGCAGTTGAATGTAGTTCTGGCGTCAGCTCGCCAGAGGTAATACCACAAACGTAGTGGAAAGACAGACACACAGGCTGACACGCAGACAAACGCAAAAAATACCTCCATTTTTCACGTATGGAAGTTAAAACTTTTAGAAAGGTTGGTCAGACTAATGAGCACCGTGGACTGGTGTGATGAATCCGTTCTTGTTGCGGACCAGTTGTTGATATGATATGAATGCCTTCCCCCAGACCTGTGCCTAACTCTGTGACTACAGGGTACTAGTATTATCACTGTACCGATCCCTCCCTAACTCAGCCAGCCTGCCCCCTCCCCCCTCCATCCATCCATCAGTGTCTATCCCTCTGCCACGCCCCCGGCTCATGAGAGGGACTGCCATTGTTTATGATAATGAGCACTTAATTTGGGGCAATTAATTGTGGATTGGGGTGAGTGGTCGGTCACGGTACGTCCTCTGCGTTACTACAAAGGACGTTGTAGTGATAGGTGCAATGTACATGTGTGGCAAGAAGCGTACCCTCTTCATCATGTACTTGTAAGTTATTCATTATATTATTACAAATTAGATATAATTTCACTGAATATCCCCCTGCATATTGCATTTCTAAGACTTTCGTTGGACACAAGGAAGCTATCTCAGGTGCGCATATTACGGTTCCAACTTGGACGTTTGCTCGTTTCTAGCTCCCTAATGGCGTAATGCCCATTTCGAGAAAAAGTGATCTTCAGCTTCTGTCCACACTTCTTTCTGCTTCCCCGAACCCTGCGAACACACCAGGCCCTGAGCTGAAATCAAGAGTTGGCTGAAGTTTCCTTACCGTTTTCGTCACAATGATGTCCCCATCTCTCACGTGACACGTGAAGCGGCCACCAGATTTTTGTGATAACCCCTAAATATGTGATACCCATAAAACCGGACCTTATCCCCATTATCACTTGGGGCATCTGGAAAAAGTATTCCTCGTTGCATGGGGGCCGGCGGGCTTTTTTGTCCTGTCCAGATTTATAGAGCATTGGGAGGGCGCAGCCGTTCGCCATTGGTTAGTGGGCAACTCCAGTCATTAAATTCCCCGTAAAGTGTGGTCGCCAGACCGTCGTTAAACTGTTTGTGGCTCGACTTGTCGTAATTCTTAGCGGAAAGTGGGGTTCAAAAGTTCGCCAGCGGGTTTAACGTGAGGTTATCCGTACAAAGGGCAGAATGAGCGCGTGCGCGCACGTAACATTTCTGTAGTTGTCTACAGGTTCTCATAATACACGCACGTCTCAGTATGGGGCCTCTTCATAGTTTTCTTTCTCTCTCTTTCTCTCTCTATCCTTGTCTCTCTTTCCTTTTCTTTACCAAATACATGTGTAACACATGTGTAGCACAGTTGATTATGATTAACCAGGTTGCTATTACCCCAAATATACTGAACAGCTTGAGAAAAGAAAGTCACTCCACGGTGTGTGAGGAGTGAAAGAGAACACCCAGACCACAGGGTTGAAAATGTCTCCTAGCGGAGAAGATTGGTATAGCACCATCTACAAAAAAACAGGAGTCGTGTGTTGTGTTGTACCTATTTATTCCACTGTCCAAATAGACACAGTCTTTAGTAAAATCAACTTTCCACAATGCCAAAGTAGTATTGTGTAGTGAGTTCTATTGTACAGGCGGAGTTAGCATATATATCATCATTGATACAGTAGATAAAATACGCAGCCATTATGTTACGTTGGCAACATGTTGTGTAGGATAAATAATCCAACAACCTCTTGTAGAATATAGGATTCATTTTTACTGTCAAGATTAGCTTTGAGCTGAGTTTGTAAAGCAAAAATGTTAGCAGTAAAGGTTTTTTTCCCACAGACCCAATTCTTTCTCACCTGCCAACAGAAATTTGTCAGCTGCCTTCATCAGGGATGGTTTAGTGTGGAAAGAACTTAAGCTTTAGTTGACTGATGAAGCTATTTACAAAAACGCCATACAGTAGTTAGATTCCTAGCGAATAAGATAACGTGACTGATACCATGAATTAGAACAGCTACGCCATTTTCGGAATAAAATGCAGGGGTCTATGTACTATGGCAAATCTCTGTGTGTGCTACTAGTAGCAATGTTCCCCCTCAAACATCCACAACATACTACTGACGATCAAAGCTTAAAAGTTAAGAGTTCCTTTTGTATATTTACATGTAAACAGTTTCATTAGACCATGCTGGAAGTATGTTTCAGAATATTTCAATTTATGTCTTTTCTCAAAAACTAATGTTTAACATCACATTCTCAAATACTAGATTTCGCACCGAATTAGTAGTATTGAATAAGAACGTTAACTTCGTCTACACATGTATATATTCTTATATCTTTGTATTGATGTTTACTTTTATATTGATATACTTTGTACTGCAAATATAATTTGTCGTGCTTGACCCTGTATTCCGGTTTAACAATTGAACCATCGGTCACTCTGTAATCACCCTTTGCAATTATTGTCAACTCGTCAGTTTCCTGAAGGTTGTCAGGACCTTATGGCAAGATGATGTGCTTAGTTCTTTCTTTCAGTTTCTTTAAATCGCGACGTTAATGTCTTTTTCAAACGACACCGAGCATAGAACGGGAGAGTCCTTGCCATTTGTCCTCTCCTTCTCATGCAGGACGCCATTTTTGTTTTTGTCACCATGTGACTTTCCGCCAATGGGGGTGAAGATAACAGGTAACCCGTCGGCTGGATACACGATGGGGAGGAACTTCATGTCCGGTGCCTTATCTTCTGTCAGCTTCCAGCGGCACCTTCTTGTCAGCTCCACGCACAGAAGCTTCAGCTGGAGCTTGGCGAACTCCTTGCCGACACAGGCTCGTGGTCCCCCGCCGAACGTCACCATATCGTATCGGGCCAGGGGCGCCTGGGATGTCTCGGCGGTCCAGCGGTCAGGGTCGAACAGTTCAGGCGAGGAGAAGATCTGGGAGGCTTCGTGGGTGTCTCTGATGCTGTAGAGCACCGCCCATCCTTCGGGCACCTGGAAGCCCTGGGGAAAGGAAAGGGAGCACATTTTTTTGTCAATCCAGTGAATTTTCAACCTTTTTCGTGAATTCCAAAAAGTCACTTCGACAAGTTATAAAAGCACAATTGCACTTTCTGCTGTGGGGTATGGCATGCACATTCCAGTAGTAAGAAGAATGACAGCCCCCCTGATTAAGTCTAAGAGACTAAATGGTATCAAGGCTATATGAAGGGCTTGTACTTACGCCGATCTCGAAAGACTTGAGCGCTCTGCGGTAGCCTCCCCCAATGGGTGGGCGTCGCCTGAGCACCTCCTTGACGACCTGCCCCACGTACGTCAGCCTGCCGACCTGCTCCAGACTCATAGGCTGGTCCGGCTGCAGCAGCCCGTGCTTCTCCAGCTCTTCCTGCACCTTCTGAACCACCCGCGGCTGCAGCGCCAGGTGCATGATGAGGGAGGTGGCGGCGCTGGACGTGGTCTCGTGCCCGGCGAACAGCAGCTCCACCACCGTGTCCTGGATCTCCTGGTCGGACAGCTTCTCGCCGTTGTCCTTGGCGGTGTTCATGATGTGCGATAAGACGTCTCCGCTGTCACCTCCCTGCATCACAAACTCCTTCTTCCTCTGAATGTGGTTCATCATCCATTTGTCGATGGCTTCTCGATAAAACAGCCCCTAAAATATAACGACAGTGTAATTCAAATTTTCCTGCTCTAGAGGGTGTTGTTAAGTTACATTTTGACGACAGCATTGACAAGAAAAACTCACAAACAAACAAAACTATACCTTCAGATTATCTGATGTCTTGGTTTTATGAAATGGTCTCATACTAGGTCATTCTACAATACTGTGTGAAAGATATTGATTACCGATATCATGAAAGCTGCGACGTATACTTATCCTAAGCTAGATACTTGCAGAGAGACAAATATGCTTACATCAAGACTAAAGTCAGCCGGTTTAAGAACAATTTTATCTCATAAACATTAACATCGTAGTATCGTAAAAGTTTTAAAAAAAGCTCACAATTACTGGATTATATAGTTTTAAAAAGCCTTACATTGCTGAGCCCACTTCCGGGTAGCTTGACTGGGAGAGAGAACAGGTTCTTGACCATGTTGGTGAAGAGGAAGGTGAGGTGTTGGATCTCCTCGTCGCTGTGCTGGAAGCCCACCAGGACAGCGGACGCCACGCGGAACGCCATCTCTCGCGCCATGGGCCAGACAGTGACGGGCTGCGGGGCGCCGCACCACCGCAGCACGGACTCGCGCAGGATCTCCTGCATGATGGGGACGTACCTCTCCAGCGCCTCGTAGTTGAAGGCCTTCATGATGACCTTCCGGCGCAGCCTGTGCTCCTCGCCGTTACTCATGGCCAGGTTGCCGGTGCCCAGGACCGTGCGGAACGTCTGCGGCCACAGGCTGGTGACGATGTGGTTCTCCCCCAGCAGGATCTTGCGCACGTTGGTCGCACCTCGCACACGGATGGTCGGCCGGCCCAGGATGTGCGTCTTGAACACATCCCCGTAGTGCGCATGTCTGCTGGTGCTGAATTTGCCTCCCTGTAGGAAACAGACACAAAACCTGCGTTACGCCTGATTCTATGGTGGGAGTGTGTTGTGCGTATCTGTATGTGTGTGTGTGCGCGCGCGCGCGCGTGTGTGTGCGTACGTACGTGTGTCCGTGTATGTTGCGTGTGTGTGTGTGTGTGCGTGCGTACGTACGTGCGTACGGATGTGTGTGATCGTATGCAGTATCGTTGAAGTTTTTCCGGGTTTATCCATTGTCCGGACTTTCATTCTGCAGCGCCAGACCTTCCGCGCATATATACTGGTCCTGTCCTTAGTGCTGAAACTGGTGTTTTCGCGACCTTCCACTGATACGTACGAAAAGAAACACCTTTTCACGTACAATAGGAGAACTACAACGAGTCTTATCTAATATATCTGACATCAAGACATTATTAAGTTAACATTCAACACTCAACACTCAACAATTTGATATTTGCTTGTCATTAAGAATGTGTTGTAAAGTTTCATCGCTCAATATTTTTACCGACCAAATCAGAACTTAGCCTGACTGTGTGGATATCGCCTGAAAGTTTCCAACGTGAGACTCTGATCTTACAGTGATCAATGCAAGGATCTTTCATTTCGCCGTCCTACAGTTATGTTGTCCATATAGAGCTTTAACAGGTGTAGTTACTGCCCGAGGTGCGCACTTTCTCGCATTATGTCTGGTATTAAAACCATTAGACGGGAAATACGGTGATGAAATTCATTTCTTGAAACATAACGAGTGTGGAGATTGCAGCAAAGTGCTTGGAAGGTGAGTGATATGGAAGTTAGAGAAACGCGTTGTCACCCCCCATACCCCACTAATGGACTAATTATCAACACTCAGATCATTTCTCATGTCTTTGAATGGAGAGGAAAAGTCATTACAATCAGTGTGTATATTACACCGGCGCCACGGTAAGTGGGGATTCTCTGTGGCCTTATTATATCATTTCGCGCGCACGCTGTGACAAATAGTGGCAGACGGGGTTAAACCATTACACAGCGACAAAACATTCACCCTATACAGAGTACAGGTATAGGGTAGTTGTGGCGTTATGTTACGTACGGCATGCAGGCATTTTTATCCTTATTCAAGTATCTTGAATAAGGCATTGACTATGGACTAGTGATACGTTTTACAAGATTGTCGGTCATTAGACTAGAGAAATGAATACGATAAAGACGTTAATGTTGTTTAGATGTCTGGTCTATCCCCGCCTCAATTTATTTATGTTGAGGACACTATGTGGAACAATTTCCTGAACGCCCTTTCAGCGGGAGAACCCGCAACAGACAGCTGAACAATCACGTGGCTAACGTCGACACAACTGACGGGTCAAACAGGGTTCACTCTCTTCGCCCAAGACAGACGATCTCTATTAAAGTTGTTCTCACTTCCGCACAGGTTGTATCACGAAGCCTATGGTTGGGCGCCCCATCAGCGCCCTGCCAATGGGAGTCTCCCGTTTCCTAATTGATAATGTGAATCTAATGACTTTACTGTCGCGACGTTTCACACATTTCGTGAGCGATCTTCATTTCCGATTGCCGATCGATGGCGTAACGATCCGGACAGGCTAGACAGGGAATTGCCTTCGCGATGGCTGGAGTTGTGTTCGAGTGGCGTAAAATATGATTATGGTGGGCGGCGGGGTGAAAAGGGCACCAGAATGAATGGTGGAAAATTAGGTTACTTTACGTCGTACCACAAGCACTCTCTTTGCCTGTTTTGTCGACAATGGTTTAGCTCATTATCAGCACCGCACTCCGAAACACCGCAATCCGAAACAACATGTGCTGTTGTGGCAAAAGAACCTAGAGAATATAATCAAACACACACACACACACACACACACACACACACACACACACACACACACACACACACACACACACACACACACACACACACACACACACACACACACACACACACATACACAAACAGACCCACACAAAAAACATCCACCCGCACACTCACACACGCGCGCGTACGCACGCACGTACTTCGACATGCTCACACACCCAAACCCACAAACATGCACACATGAACACGCCTGCACACACGAACACGTGCGCAAGTACACAATCCAGAGCACTAGTGCACACACACAAACGTAAGCCCGTAAACACATAACTATTGATGCACTGGTCATCACCTCAGTGGTAAATTTGTCCATTTCTTGTCACAGTCTTCCAGACAGAAGGACCGCTAGTGTTACAGACGCGGCCGGCTCTGGTAGTTCTGCATGTGGAAACCTTTCTGTAAGTTTGCTTCCAAACTTATTTTTCCATTGTTTTAAGACGTATGGGTAACTGGCCAACCAACTAACCAACAAAACAACCGACCAACCAGAGTTCTTTATGACAAAAAGACAACTCTAAACTTAGAAAGAAACAGACAAGTCAAAACTTTCTGAGGGTACTCAAAGTCACTCTCATCAATCAAGCCATTAGGAACGCCACAGTGGGCGCCGCCATTCGCCGCAGAAAAAGGTCAATACATTCAAAAATGGCAGTTGTTCTTTCCAACATCATTGATTTGGGCAACAATTTGTGTTTGGTCGTAAATCACCGGGAGACAAGATGACCTCCATCGGTGCATCAAACTAGTGTGTAATGTTCTAAATACACACAGGGAGGTATGGATGAGGGGAGAGGATTATAATTCTATAACTTTCTCCCAATTGGCGGTCGGCAATGTCTGTCTGAAGTCTCTCCGTACTAATTACGTTGAAGGTCACAGAGAGGGAAGGCGCTTTCCCCATCGATCAGCCTAGCGACCCGCGACAAGAGTTCAGTTGGCTCGGCGGGGCTGGCGCCACGCTGGTTCCGGCTCACTCTTCACGTGAGGCGAGGTACGAAGGTGTAAATCGGTCTGTAATTGAAATTCTCAAACATGGGATCGTCCGTCTGCTAGAGGGCATTTGTGGGTCATCCCATTTGTTCTGGCGTCTCTTCCAGAAGTTTACTTTTTGGAATCGCACCTGTAATCTAACTGGGAGATAGAATCAATATCGTCTGTCTGAACCTACGGAGTGCCTACCACACGCCATACATCCACTAGATATCATCTCTTTCTTTGTAAATAACTAAGTCCATTGGAATCACCTGCCGGTATCTTTTCCAGCTACTCAGAGGCTAAGCCAACAAGAATTCGGGGATCTCATACCTCCATGAAGTATCTAGAGCTGTTGTAAATGCTTATTTTTTGGATCTATCTAATTCATCATTGGCGTAAAGTTGTAATTAGCATATTTTAATCTATAAATTAATTAGATGTATTTCATATGTGAAAGTCCTATACTTTGGCAAGGTTTAATTTCAACATTTCATCATTAATTATGCAAATGACACAAGTATGGATATCCTATCATTTACCGATAATAAATCATTTTAAAGCGCATTAATTATGCAAATTAGGTCCTAATTTGCATGATTTGTATCTGTAAATGTTCCACCTGCCATAGATTACATACGATAAATGTATCCTATCAGATACAGCACTGGAATTTCAGAAATCAAATCCTCGTTTGCTTAATTTGGGTATCATCTCTGTCATGCCAAATTACATGGAAATATATTGCTCCTTTATTGACTTAGCCGCTTTGAAAGATTTCGCCCAAAACTCCCCTGTAGTTCCAGAACAGGCTGCTAGAGGGACCAAACCTATACCATTTGTTTCTGACGTGGAAAACTATCAGACACCAAAAACTCAAGACCATAGCATGTCCAGAGCAAAAGATTAAAAAAACGGAAGTTCTACTGCAGTGCCAAGGTCAACTAACAGGAGGCCCAAATTTGGCCTTGACCTTTGTCTTTTCTCGTCTACCCACATACTAAATATCCCCACAATCCATAAAGGCCTTCTTACGTTATGCTAATCACAAATATGCTGAAACACACACACACACTCACACACACACATACAAACAAACAAACAAACAAACAAAGACGCAAACATATATATACCATATCCGATTTCATGTGCTTGATCACAGTTACTTTTTGACACCGACGTTTTACCGGATGTACATTTCTGCATGCTGGACACGTACCTCTTACTTGCGTCTAGCTCCTTCTTGTTGCTTGAACACTTTGAAGTATACAATTTTACAGTATGCCACAGTGACAACTCAGATTCAAGGCAATCTACGGTATTATGTGAAGCCTTCAATGAACTATGGTCTATTGCGCCCCATGGCTGTCCATTGAATGATGGTGTCTTTCCGCACCCAACCTCTAATAGACTATGAACCCCTAGTATGTCTGCTTTCATCATGGTTTGGATTTCAGGCCCATTGGCTCTTGAACGCATCGTTGTCTGTTCGTTTTTCTCCGCCAACGGACCAACGTCCGCAGCACAGGCCTCTATCCTGACCAGCTGGGCATGGAGTACTGCACATGCATCATCGGAATGGTTCGCCTTTGCTTTGTTTGGCTGTTGAAGTGCTTCAGACTGTACTCTTACTGGATCTTCAACATGAAGGATATCGTACAGTGACTGTTCTGGGAATTGAAAATAACTTTGCAGAATTCATTATGATGGTGATATTGTGGGTAAATTAGATGTGATGCGATTAATACAGTTACAGGAGGCCATCTCGCACACAGTGAAACCATTGGCTGCCTTTCTGCTTTGTAAGTTTTTCCTACACGTAATATTAACGTAATATTACGTTCGTTTGGAAAATGAAAATGGCTGTGCCAGACAGAACCGTGCCATGTTCCTTCATCAACACGTGATCATACAAATACCAGGCCCGGCCCAGAAGAGACAAAGGCCAAGGTCACATGTGGGCCTCCTGGTGCCTGTCCATGGTACTGCAGGAGAACGTCCGGTTTTTCTATCTTCTGTCCTGGTCTTGATTCACATATTTTGTTCACGTTTTACATATTCTCTCACTACTCTTATTGTACATACATACGCTATTAGAACCCTTGGGAGCTCATTGCCATCCCATATAGTATATACACAGTTATGCTGTCCACATACCAGTCGGCGCTATAGGGATTGGTGCTCCAGGTGCTCTATTGAAAATATTCCGGGTAGTTTGCTGTGTCTTGCTCAGTTTAATTGAACAGTTGTGAAGTGCATTTTTCACCAAATGTAAGGAGACCATGATAGCGCCGACTGCCCGGTCAGTCTTTCGTGACGAGGCGAATAGAGAACAGTCTTTGACACATTCTAGAGTCTCTGCGATCTATCGTGGGAAGGTCTCAGCTCCCAACACTACGGACATGAGAAATAGATTACGCCTCCCTGATAGTTAGGTTATCTGCCCACTTCAGAGAGCGGTAGAACTCATGGAAATACGATGACATGTTCTCTATCCCCGACACAGATCCTCTATCTGTCTACTCTCCAGGTGAGCTCCACGGGTTGCCAGCGCGCCACGTTTCTATCGTCCCGGCCGGCACCTGGCCAGGTGTCACGCCGTCCGACTTCCAGCCGTTCAATAACAGGATATAGAGAGCGGGATCAGCAGCTCGGTTATCACAGCTAATGTAAGGGGACAGTTCAGTGACCTGGACTCAAAGATCCCGTCTATCACACTAAGTAGACTGAGAATACATGTTATTGCTGGCACACTGCGCGGTAAGGTTGATATTAGGCGCGATTAAACAACTACCTACGCAGAGTCGGGAGGGGATTTATCACTTCCCGCTGCCCAGGGCATCCATAATCCTAGCAACTCATTACAACGGCGCTTTGTTTTCTTTTGTTGTGTTATGCGAGCTGTGGCGGCTGTGATGTTTTACCAGGTTTTATATAAGAATTGTCAACTGAAAGCCTGAGGCCTAGACTTGTTTAGCTCGCGTCGCCTCGAACAGTTAGTTGCAACCCCGATAATACATTTTACAGAAAATGTGCCACTTCAAATAAAGGTGTGGGGCGGCGGCGCCAGTAATTAAGTCCGAGCGCCCGGTTCTCAGCTGATTTACGGAGCCCCGGCCAGAGCTGCTCATGTTACCGCCTTACAAAGAATACAGTATTATACACGTCTGAGAAAGTCGCTTGGCAAGGCCCGGCTGTCGGCTGGTATGTAGTGACGGCTGCCAATCACAAGCACATAAAGGTCAAAGGTTTGGAGGGGTGGGGGTGCCCCTCTCCGATCTTTATCATTACAGACATTGAAGGCTTTTTCACCATTCAGATTGTATGTACCATGAGGGCAGTGCTCAGGCTAGAGAGATAGAGTCGTACGAACCGACGATAAAGGTGTCGACAAGGCTCGCGGCCATTACTCATAGACCCTGCCACCTCTAAGGAGAAGTTTGAGGACGTTGAGAATTATACCGCGATGCCAGTCAGGGGCTTGGGTTTCTAACATTTTCTTGAGTAAATAAAAACACAAAAAGACAAAATAAAATAGCTCCAGGGATCGACAAGTATAATATGCTCTTGGCAGCTCCAGAAAAAAATCAATGTTTAATTGTTTAACTGAAGAGACTCAGTCAGATGCCGTCCTTAAGCGCTAGGCACGGCCCGACAAAGTAGATTTATAGCATTTTTCTTACATACGAGCAAAACATCTCTAAGTATAAATCTTAACGCCATGAAATCGACAATCTACTCGTCATGTTGTTTTATATTTTCCTAATTGAATGCTGAGGATTTCAACAAAGATAACCACGCGCTGAAGGTGACAATTGCGTCCAGAAAGTTCCCTCGCCATGAAAACCTTGTCAAAACTGTCTTCATAATAAATTTAAAATTGCCATAATTGAAAAGACGTCACTTGTAAAACGATTCGGCAGAGATAAAGTGAACCGAACTAACCACTTTCTTGCGCCTGAGGCACCTAAGAACTGTTTTAGTACATTATCAACATGGGAGGTGGGAGAATCACTCGGGCGGCAACAAATCCGCGCATGTCGGCTTGGTTTGCCTGACCTTGCGGACCACCATGCACGGCTGGTACAACGTCGAAGAAAGTTTCTTTGCTAAACGTGTGGACATATGCAATGCAAACTGCCTTCTGTAATACTCAATACAGTCAACACACAACACCTCATACACATCACAGCAGCAAGGCAAAATTTGAAGCCTAAGTTTCACAACAAAAGACACATTTCGGCTCTAAAAGTTAACTCTGCCAGGCCCCGAGCCGGTTGCAAATGCCGCAGCTTTTTGCGTACATCCAGCTACCAGTACATGTAGTATCCATATATTAGCACTGCAGCTAGCGGTGGGGACATATAACTGCAGGTTTACCTATAAAAACGTCCAATTTTGAGGTACAAAGCTGCACTATGGTCGTTTTCACATCATCAATAAGATATACGATGTATCCAAACAGAATCACACGCATGTAACAAACTACCACCAAACTGGCCACTAAAAAATAAATTCCAGCTTCGCCACAACATGAGCACTAAAAGGGCACTTACAAATACTGACCAGGGCCTCTACTTAGTATTGTCAGAGTAGATGTTCGTGTAATGTATTTCTCAACAATATTACGCTTAGAAAAATTGGAATAATTGTAATATCGGCTTCTGTAATACACGATGTTATCTCCAACTGAAGGTTAAATTTTGAAGTGAAAACAGGTTGTAGTAACTGTAGCGACAACTGATTCCTCAGTATGATCACAACTACATCTCATACATTGTAATGTCAAAGTACCATATAAAGTTGCTCTGTGTGGAGGTCGTGACAAATACACTTGAAATGAGAGGTACATCTGAGTCTCTGACTAGATATCTGTGTCCGGGGAGAAAGGCCCCCGTATGTGCTAGCCGTCGGTAAACCTATACATGGACGCGCGATGCTCGTACGTGATTGACGAGACCTTGTCATATACATCATGTGCATTAAATGTAAACACAACATCCTCGTATCTTCTACTGTAGAAAAGTGCGCCCTTACCTGCCACACGAGGCTGAGCGTCTCTCCGATGAAGGGTAGACCCATGCTTCCCGGCGGCAGGGGGAGGTCGGAGCCGGTGTCGGTGTCGGACCAGGTGTAGTACTGCGTCCAGAGCTTCCAGGACAGCAGGAGCGCGACACAGGGCAGGACGAGGACAGTCAGCAGCTCCACCAGCATCTTTGCAGCTTTGTCTCCTGATGAGGAGCTCGCCTGGAGTTTATATGGAGTGACGGTGACCCTTTGCCGCAGCCAAGCGGGCCTGATGGACGAGCCGAGAGCGTGGCGGGCTCGGTGTCTCGCCCGAGCCGATCAATGGCTGTCGCCAGGCGCTGAACCCTGACGCCGCTCACTCACTCCGCTGAAGCAAAGACGCATGTCGCAATTAGCTAGGTCACTCACGGGGCAGTGTCTGATCAAGATTTACCATGGAGTAAAAAAAAAACTAACCCTACACTGAAACCGTTTTCTCCAGAAGTGCAGCGTCGAAGGAGAAACCATCAAGGGCGCCTTGAAGAATGGTAGGCCATCAACACTACACGGGCGCCCGACTGATCTGTCTCCGAATGGCGACGGCCGCCAGTCTTAATGTAGTAAAGGTTACTGACAGCGTATTTGTAGCGCAGATAACTACTATTTTCAGAACATACCCAAATGAAAGGTTTGAATATTCACAATAGGGATCGTTAAGTAGATGATGACGATGTCTAGAAAATTTGCATGCGTCGTCAGCGGTTTTGGTCCGTCCCGGGTGCAGTCTATCTACTCTGGCTCTACATAAATGTACTGAAATGCGAGGCACATGATTCCAGCTACAGTACTGACTTTACGAACCTGACAGATACCGTCTAACTGCACATACTTCCCCTTGTATGTAGACTAGGGCTATGGAATTGTGTCTCCCTTCTGCAACAGTGGAACATTCACTTTATACTAACGCTACCAGGATATGAGGTCTTTTCAGTCCTTCGCATGGAGGACAAATCATTCACAGGAATGTAACTGTGCTGTGAGTCGGATTATGTCAGGAGTAGCTGTAGAATAAGACATAACAACATCCTGCCATTTCCTCAGCTAAGACTTTCCATGGCTGACCTTTTCTTTCGGTGATAGCCAAGTTAAGGTGACGTAATTCAACTTGATAGAGAGTGAGTCGTGACTCACAGTGTCCCGTATGATCAGGAGTTACACCACACAGGCTTGTAGCGGGAGATAGTAGGAGACAAGTGGTATCTTGTCGCCCGATGTGTTCCACGGAAAGGCGCAGTAGCCTCTACAAGACCCCGGGAATCTGGAATATTTTCCAGTTGACGATCAGAATGGAATCTTGACGTAAATATGACTTTTTGACGTCAATATTTGACGCAATCCGTCAATTCACGCGCACCATATGTCTGTAGACGTGTTAATTGTGGGTTACTGACGGACACGTATGAGGGTCTTAATATTTTGAGACGGAAAGTTAAAACCGTGAATAGTCAAATAAATCAAATATCGAATCAGTCACCAGCTGCACATCTTAACCCGTCTGACAGTACAGAGCCAGAGTATACAACAGAAAAGCACGTCTCAGCTTTGTGGTTCATTGTACATGTTGGCATCTTTTAAAGCATTGCTATTGATACTTCGATCAACTTCGATGTCCCGACTGATCTACTGTAATTTTCTGCAAGTTTGGTATGTTGAAAAAATGTACAAGGGAAAGAGAAAGCGTATTGTGTGATGAAGTCGAAATCTGTTTGTTGGATTCAGGACAATTTGTATGTAGTTTGGCTGTCAATTTTGTACTGTTAGCGCCGAAATGATATATCTGACCAAATCTATCACTTGTTTCAAATGACTGAGGAATATCTAGAAACGGAGTCGAAACAGGACATGTTGGGTAAAAGTAAGAAATCTTCAGGACGTAGCGCTGTAGTGTGACGTTATTTCTGTAGTTCTGGGATGTTTACTATTCAGAATGAGATGCCCTATTCTATACCAAATACATCACATACCACGTTATCTTTAGCAACCCTGCTTTACACACAAACAACAAAACAGCTACTGCCTCATTATCGAAAACATCGTGTCATTCCCAGCCTTGCAAACATTTTAGTTGTTTAGAAAACCGACAAAATTCTAAAGCAAAAGCTGAGCTGAGATACTGTGAGAGAAATAACTTTTGCGACACCGATAATGAAGATATGAGTACATGTATGTAACTTTTACATTGTGATAGTGAGCAAATTTAGCTCGGCCTTACTAATACACTACGTATATACCTACAACTGTTGACGGGTGACCATGAAATCGAGAAACTGTTTCTACGACTACGAGTTTATGCAAATTGTACACACCAACATTATGAAAACGAATAAAATCTACCAAAAATGTAAACCAAACTCATGTACCGCGATGTATTTTTCTAGCTTGACAAATTGCCTGTATGATGGAAATGAATGTTTCCTTTCGAGGACTGTTCTTTTGAGGGCGAATACACGTTAAGAGGATATGATTTAGTGTGTATTTCAATAGATGTTGATTACGGCTTTCTTCCACCTTCAAATAAGCAAATCTTTGAAACACTGAGGCGGAGTTTATTTTGCCAATTGGTTTGTTAGTAAGCAGTCTGGTGTATTGGAATCATTGGGATAAAAACGCCTGTTGAAAATACGACAGAACAAAGACGTTGGTTATTATAGTAATTGTGGACAAAAGGTAGAAATACGATCCAACGGAAGACCCAGATGAAACAGCTTTATAATGAGTATGCAGATATGAAGGAAAGACGCGATAAATCCAATTGCAATCTATTGTACAGTTTCACTCAAGCAAAAATAACAAATAATTATGAATAATTGCCTGGCGTGGAATGGTGATTTCAGAGGCAACTAAGTATGTAGGCAAAGTGGAAACGACAGATTAAAAAGTACGATTAGCTGAGAAAAAATAACCTGCAAAACCGGATATTATCTTTTGCTACCACAACAACGTTACGTGGCGGTTGCCATGTTGTGTGCCTGAGAATATTTTCAACCGTGAAAGAAACGAAATAGAATTCTTTGGAGATTGTTTGGCGTCGCTTAGAGGACGTAATCGGGCATGAGTAAGTTGCTTGAATTTTGGGAGTGAGCTGGAAGGAGAAAATGGGCGAGATCGCAGATATTCAACTCTCTAGAGCTCTCGGCAATTATTGCGGCTTAGAGAGGCAAACTGATCGAAATGATGTGACGTCCTGGGGTGAATATCTCCCAATCTCATTTCCCCATACAATCCCAACTGGTAGGAGGGAGAGCGAATCAGACAACTTAGAAACAAACAGTATGAAAATTTTTCTTTTGACGTGCAGAGAGAGGCCCCACCCCATTCACACCCACATTGTTGAGAGATAATTACGGCCTATTCTGACACCCTATTCACACAAATGGTTCTCGAAAGGGTGTCTTAATCTGTTTTAAATTAGGTGCCAATAGTTCATTCACTATTGAACTCTATTCATTGCCGTCAAATTTTAACGCTTCGAAACGAGCGGGGATCGTAAAAGTTGATAAGGTGAACTCCGCGGTGGGAACCGGGCGCCACTGGCTTTGTTGATTGTAATCGCTAGGTAACGTCTGTTGTTCCACCCGTAACTGCTTCTGCCCTTTTCAAGGGGACCACTTTCTGGCTTTACAAGTCACGCAAGGAAGGCTCAGAGAACAAAAAGCCAACGGTCTTATCGCCAAGGTACATTGTAGCACCGAGAGTTCGTTGTGTTTTGAAGTGTAAGGATTCAGACAGAATCTATTCTTGTATTTCATGGTGGCCCATTCACCGCCGTTCTCGGGCACCAAATCGCCAACCGTTTCAGGTGGAAAACGTCAAGAAACAAAGCAGGGTTGATAAAGGTATACCCTGGCACTTCTTACCAAGCTAATCTGTGTGTTCAGGGAGGGATAGACCCGGAACTATCCAGAAAGTGAGGGAGGAAAGTGTGCTAGCCGGCCGCAGGGAAGGTTATATTCCCTTGTTCCCGATACGCTCGCCCGGCGTGACATTTCAAACTCAAACGAATTCTTGCCAGCCTGTATTGGAGCACAGCCAACCGCTGCAGCAAAACACGGCCCCGACAGGGTTCAATTACCCACTTGGAGTCTTTTTACGTGCGAACCATTTCTTGGGGGATCCTGGTAGATTTTGTCTACTATGTTAGCAGGCCGGTGTAGCTGCGGCCCGGAGGCGGCTCCCGGCAGACTGACAGCTCGACTGATTTATGGCGACCGCTACTGTTCACTGTTACTTTTGTTGTTCCTCGTCCTCACCAGTCAATTATTCTATCAGACTTGAATTGAACTGTTTACTCTCTATCAGTAACCGTGCAATGTCTAGTTTCTTTACACAAACAACACCGCCGGAGGAGGGCGAACGCCATTTTTCAAACGGTTTGCACGTCCCCGTGCCTCATACCACTGCTAGTCCCTACCAGCGTACTGAGGTGCCGCTTGGGCTCGGGCGATTTTACGAACTGTGACACGGCAAGCCATTCGATCCACCAGCGATAACATGTCAGGAATACCTCGGGCAATGTTAGGTGAACCACCGAAGATAATATCCCCTACAGGCCCCTTTCAAGGGCCCGATTTCTGTCCACTAATGGGTAAAATGGACCCTGCTAGGTTACCTGAAGACATTTCACAACCGTCACAGTTACACCGTGTGTGTTGTTAACGTTATTTTGTCACTGTCCCATACACTTGTATTTACTTAGGATCATGGCAAGCAAGCATGTACACACAAGCCAAAGACTGGGTCGTACACAACGAATGTGAACATATAGCCAGAACACTCTTAGATAATAAAGAAAGCAATAGATATACATTTAACTGTATTCGTTCGCTTCGTGTGGTCTCTCTCAAAGCTATAGCCTGTGTAGAATACCCTTACCATTGCACCGAATATTGTTTCATTGATTTCTATTTGATGAAATGATTTTTAGTCGCCTTCATATTTATAACATGAGCACAGTGTCTCTACAAGTCATCTGGATGAAAACTGTGAAACATAGCCTATAATCCAGACACATGGCTCCCTCACATCTGTATGATTGCAATGTATAGACCGGAGTACAAACTTAGCATGGAACTTTAATGAGCATCCACAAGCCCACAGAACATACTGGGCAACACATGAAAAATTCACAGAAAGAAAAGCGCCTTAATTACGCGCGAAAAGGTGCGAGAAGGCGTGCTGTGGGCGTGCTGTGGAGGTACTGTTGGCTAGCTGTAGTCTTCGTCAATAAGCTTAGGATAACATGGGAGTACTCTCGTCCTTTGTTGTAATTCAGCACTGTGGAATTTGGGCTTATTTTCAAACAATATCTTCTCCGTGAAGTTGTGTATGTTGGGATTCAGAATTCCGTAGTTTTTCTGGCTTATGTAAGCAAACAGGGCACTGTGTGACAAACTGTCGGCAAATATTGCGAGAGAGAATGTTCACAGCGTCTACAATCGATCGTTTATAGAGGGTATCGGCAACCGTAAATCATCGGACCTGTCTACCCCGGCCTGAAACCAAATCTTGAACGGAACACGCGTGAACAGCAAATCGCCATACGGCCACTATTGTGCCAACAAACCCTGCAGAATGGTCTGGGTGGATAGAGTTTCCTCTGCGGTTAAATTTGGGTGACCACAACGATTATTGCTCAACGTCCAACGCATGTAGTTACTGTGGTGGTGCGTTACTTTTTGTCCAGTCTACTGACAAATTTGCGCCGGGAGCTAACTTGTTACCTGTGCGTCTCGATTTTTGAACAGGTTGGGATGGAAGTGGACTCGTTGTTATGTCTGGGAGCATCTTACTATGCACTGGTGACAATGTATGTGACACATTCAATTTACCGGACCACACCAGAACCTTACAAACTCCGGCAGACAGCAGGGTCAACCTTAAGTCGACGAGAGGTGTGCCGCCGGGTTAGCTTAGCGCAGGGCTATACACACACATGTAGTGTGAAGGTATAATAAATTAGCAGGGCACTCATATTGGAAATCTTGGCCACTTGAACAGGGAGGTGACACTGTCAACTTATCAAGTGATCATTTCCGCAACAAACAGGTCCCGACCGACGACAGGGGAAAGATCAACTGACTAGGTCTCGTCAGGTTAGAGAGAGAACATGTTTGGAGAAGTTGAAGTTTATCAAAATGCGTATGGTTCGTGAGTGCGAGCGCCAGCGATCAGTCTTCTACCTTATTTTAACACCATCACTCTGTACATGCATGGAAACAGACGACACTAGCCACCGACAAAAATTTGACAAAGTCCTACTTCTATCAAAACCAATCATCGCTAAAATATTCCTTCGATGTTTCCCGACTTTATGGCCCATATTAAGTACGAAAAGTAAAGATACATTGACACTTACCTCAGTTCAAAAGAAAGGTCTATGTTGATATATTGTTAGTTGATTGCGCGGGTAAAATCCGACAGGCCGGTGTTGGACGTGTATGTGGCCGTCGGCAGTAGCCGGTGTACTGGGGAATGTACTGGACTACAAGCCCGGCCAGCACTCAGGCCCTCTTATGTTGGATAGCCTGCTCTTGAAAGACACCTGCATTGATTGTGGCTAACAGCCAATCAGCGGGCTGAGAGAGCTCAACATTTGCATGTCTTGCATTAGTTAGAAGATGGAAGGGCATCACATGGGCTGGGGGTCAATCCGTGGATTCACCCTGGCTACAGACAGCCCGGGGCTCCCTCATTCAGCCGGCCTGTCCAAAAACAACCGCGTGCTTTGATCACTACTGTCCCCATTATCGCTCACGCCGCCGTAACGTGAGCTGTCTTTCAACTTCAACAGAGGAGAGGGAGTTTTTGTTATGTGTCATCAGGTCCTTCTGTGCGGCTCGCAATAGGTCAGGGGACGGGGGGGTCAGACAAAGTTCAACAAAAGTTCACCTGGAGTTCATAAAGACGGCTTCCTTTTATTTGAGGAGCACTTCACCTGCCTTTTGACACCTAGCTGTCGATCAATCGACGGCAATTCAAGTGAATGTTCCGAATACCTGGAGCCGCACTCGAGCTTTTGTTGGCCATTGTCCGCTGAGACAAAGGGCGAGCTGTAGGGGGGAGCTGTGCGGAGCTGCCGTGCGTGTCTGCAAGGTGTGGGGCATGAAGGGACCGCAACTGACG